TCCTGAGCTCAAGGGGGGTGCCCTGTGGGGACTCCCAGAAACCACTGGGACAATTTTGGGAGGTATGTTAGCTGTGGTTACAAAATACCACAGGCTGGGTGACTTAAAACAACAGAATTCTGTTTCTTCACAGTTCTGGAGGCTAGAAGTCAAAGATCAAATTGTCAGCAGGGTTGGTTTCTTTTGAGGCTTCTCTCCTTGGCTTGCAGAGGGCTGCCCTCTGGCTGTGGGCATCATCTTCTTGATGTACGGATATGCCCCAGGGGCCTCCTCCTCTTTTTATAAGGATCCACCAGATTGGATTAGGGCCTCACTTTAATGGTGTCATTTTAACTTAATCACCTCTTTAAAGACTCTGTCTCTAAGTACAGTCAGATTCTGTGGTACTGGGGGTTAGAATATCAACACAGGAATACAGGGGGAGTCCTATTCAGTCCATAACAAGAGAAGAAGGCTGAGGCTGGAGTTTTCTGGCCCCCTGGGTAGATGGTGCAATCTTGAGGGTGCTGGCCATCTCCAGCACCCCCTCACTCAGTGAGCTTCCCTGTGGCAGTGCCTGGAGTCCTGCAGGCTGACCAGAGGGGGATGATGGAGCTCATTACATTAGGCTAATTCAGTCCATCGGAACTCTCAGTCTGGTGAGACTTGAGGACTTTCAAGGTTTATACACCAAACCAATCTTCCAAAGGGCAAATCTGACCTTCAGAGTTACAGTTACTTTCTACAACATTTAATTAAGATAACATTTCTTTCTTTAAAAAATAACAAGGAATTCCCAAGACATGTCCTAACCATCTAATATCAGATTCAAAACACACTTACTTCTGTATCTACCGTAGTGAAGCCAAGTAGAAGATTGAACAATTACGTGTGTGTTTGCTTAAATTATAGAAACAATTATGTTAATAGGTCACATTGTTTTGTCTTTGTAGATCCAACAAGTGGTTTATTTATTTAGAGGCATGACGTTTAAAAATTTTTAAATTAAGTTTTTCATTTTAATTCCAGTACAGTTACACACAGCATTCCATTAGATTCAACAATGAGTCAGTGATTCAGTGATTCAACAATTCTATGTATTACTCAGTGCTCATTATGTTAAGTGTACTCTTTAATCCTCATCACCTATTTAACCCATCCTCCCGCCCTCCTCCCCTCTGGTAATCACCAGTTTGTTCTCTACAGTTAAGAGTCTATTTCTTGGTTTGTCTCTGTTTTCCTTTGTTTCTTAAATCACACATATAAGTGAAATCATGGTATTTGTCTTTCTCTGACTTATTTCACTTAGCACTATACTCTCTAGCTCGACCCATATTGTTGCAAATGGGAAGATTTCATTCTTTTTTTTATGGCTGGGTAATATTCCTTTGTATATATACCATATTTCCTTTAAGAAAAGTTTTTTTTTAAACATTTATTTATTTTTGAGAGACATACAGAAACAGAGCATGAGCAGGAGAGGGGCAGAGAGAGAGGGAGACACAGAATCCGAAGCAGGCTCCAGACTCCGATCTGTCATCACAGAGCCTGATGCAGGGCTTGAACCCATGAACCATGAGATCATGACCTGAGCTGAAGTTGGCACTTAACCAATTGAGCCACCCAGGTGCCCCTAGACTGCATTTTCTTTATCCATTCATCAGTAGGTTGACATTTGGGCTCTTTCCATAATTTGGCTATTGTTGATAGTGCTGCTAGAAACATCCGGGTGCATGTGTTCCTTCAAGTCAGTATTTTTGTATCTTTTGGGTAAATACCCGGTAGTACAATTGCTGAGTATTAGGGTATTTCTATTTTTAACTTTTTGAGGAACCTCCATACTGTTTTCCAGAGTGGCTACACGAGTTTGCAACAGTGCATGAGGGTTCCTTTTTCTCCACATCCTTGCCAACAACTGTTGTTTCTTGTGTTTTTCATTTTAGCCATTCTTACAGGTGTGAGGTGATATTAGATCCATAATATTTTGATGAGACTATGTAGATGCAGCCATATTGGTGCAGCTCTTTTGATGACAAGACAGTTTTGACCCCTCTTAAAAAAAAAAAAAAACCCTGTTAAACTTACAGCTTCATAAATTATAATATTGGGGCGCCTGGGTGGTTGGTCAGTCAAGCATCCAATTTTGGCTCAGGTTATGATGTTGCAGTTCATTGGCTTGAGCCCCCCTGTCCTGCTCTGTGCTGACAGCTCAGAGCCTAGAGGCTGCTTCAGATTCTGTGTCTCCCTCTCTCTCTGCCCCTCCCCTGCTCACACTCTGTCTCAAAAATAAACAATAAAAAAAATAAAATAAAAATTATAATATTATGTGTAGAACAGACATTCCTGCTCTTAGTCTCACCCATCACAACCCTACTCACAATAAAATTTTCCTTCTCCAAAGAGAGTAAAAGAAGTTCTGACACCTCTGGAAAGGAACCCTTAGAGGGAGAAGAATGAAAAACAAGGACCTGAGAAAATACAACTCCAAAGAAGTAGCGTATTTCAATTTTAATGCTCATTCTTGCAACACCCTCATCTTTGGAAATCAACCTCTCGTTGATTTTGTGGAATATTGCTAGATGCTATGGTCCCCTTGTCCTAGAAGTCTTGAGTCTATGGACAATTTGGGACAAATACCCTGAGAAAAAATTTATATTAGTAAGTATACTGGAAGATAGACTATAATGCATATAGGCCACATTAAGTGTGTGACCTGGATCAGGCAAAAAGTAAAATCATTTACAGAACCAGTTTATCTCATCCAAATGTGACCCAAGCTTCCTGGTTTCTGTCTCTCTCTCTCTCTCTCTCTTTTTGCAAACTCACCTGAATTGTCTGTGTCTATTTCTTTCTATAAAGTGGTGGAGCCTCTTAATGCCACCTGATCTCCTGAGTGCAGCCTGTGAATCTTCCACAGTGTCACCTTCTGACAAGGTGTCATTGTGCTCAACAGAACTTTCATACTGTTATTATTATTATTATTTTTTACTATTTTTTCTCCCAATTCATTAGGAAGTGGCCTTTGTGTTGTGGAAGGTTGGCACCTTTTTCTTTTCTTCTTTTTTTTTTTTTTTCCTGATGGGCCAGAGTTCCGACCTCCACTCAATTTCTTCTCCTCAGAATGAGGCCTTCAGATTTAAGTCTTCAAATAACAGTCTATTTTATTAATCTTGCATTACTTGCTAGTGAATTTGTATAATTATAGTATAAAAGACAATTTCCATCAAATAGTAAAGTAAAAGAGATAATCAACACATTAGCAGTTTATCAATAATTACTATGTACGTGCATGAACTAATTTTAAATGTCTGATTTGGATCCATTTTTAAGCAGATGAGATGTTAAATAAACAAGGCACATCTGTATAGGGCAGTTCTAACAAGGACTTTAATAAAGCCACATCTTTTTAGAAAAAAAATTGTGGTTAAATACACATAACATGAACATTACCATTTTAACAAACTTTAAATGTACTGTGGCATTAAGTACATTCATGTGCGACTATCATTACCATCTATCTCCAGAATTTTTTTTATCATTCCCAAAGGAAACTCTATACCCATGAAACACTAACTCTTCATTTGCGCCCCCAACCCTCCAGCCCCTGGCATCTCCATTCTACTTTCTGTGTCTATGATTTTGACCACTTAGGTACCTCATACAAGTGGAATCATACAGCATTTGTCTTTTTGTGTGTGGCTTCACTTAGTGTAATGTCTACAAGGTTCATCCACTCTTTGTTGGTTTCCAACTCTCTTGGGAGCCTTCCCGGTGTAATCTGAAATCAGCCTTCTAGGTGGAGGGCAGGGAAAGACCCAAGAAAGCGGCCGCCCACTCCAGGATGGTAGGTGACAGTTTTTTTTTTTTTAATTTATTTCTAGGAGAGAGAGAGACAGCGTGAGCAGGGGAGGGTCAGAGAGAGAGGGAGTCACAGACTCTGAAACAGGCTCCAGGCTCTGAGCTGGCAGTCAGCACAGAGCCCGACGCGGGGCTTGAACCCACGAACCGCGAGATCATGACCTAAGCGAAAGTCGGACGCTTAACCGACTAAGCCACCCAGGCGCCCCGGTAGGTGACAGTTTTAATAAGCAAAGGGAACTTACATAGGAGGCTTGCCTTTGGTGACAGCAAGACACATAGATGCCCACACCCACCTGCCAAATCTTCAAAGTTTATTAAGAGGCCTGAGCTCAGGCATGGTATACCCCGTAGGTGTACTGAACACCACATACTACCCGAAGGCTCTGTCCTTGGAGCGGCCTCTGGGAGCAGGAAGGGCAAGTGGAACCCACATTCCAACCACAGGGGAGGGTGTGAGGAGACTTCCAGTGCCTGGGTCCAACTCACGGGTCAACTGGCGGTCACATCTTGTCAATTACCTTCGCCAACACTGTTCCAAGTGCTTTGCAAATATTAATTCGCATAATTATTCATCTTTGTATGTTCCCCAGGGTCTAGAAAGTGCTTTGCACGTGTTAGACATAAAATATTTGTGGAATGAATTTTGGGAGGGCTTAAGCATTTCCAAGTGACTGCCTGCTCTGCTGGTTGGAAAGTTAACAAAAGGAGCCGGCAAGTTTCGAGAAGCCTTTTATTTTAGCCGCCACATTTAGGTCAGCTCCCCACTAGGGGAAGGGAAGAGGGAAGTCATTCCTGAGTGATAGAAATTGTAGGAAGAGACTCAACGTTAATTAAGGGTCTCCTTTCTACGGAGGCAGCGATCACCTCGGGGAAGCCTCAGGAAAAGACAAGACCCCCAGGCCAGGCGGCTCTGACAGGTCCACCCAGGCTGGGCGGAGGAGGCGGGGCCCGAGGCGGGGCGGGGCCTGCGGGGGCGGGGCGGGGCCTCGTGCGGGGCCGGTGGGGCGGGGCGGGGCCTCGTGCGGGGCCTGTGGGGCGGGGACTCGTGCGGGGCCTGTGGGGCGGGGACTCGGGCGGGGCCTGTGGGGGCGGGGCGGGGACTCGGGCGGGGCCTGTGGGGGCGGGGCGGGGCCTGTGGGGGCGGGGCGGGGCGCGCGACTGCGCCGGGCGGCGATGGCGGCGGACGGGGACTGGCAGGATTTCTATGAGTTCCAGGAGCCGGCCCGGAGCCTCCAGGACCAGGAGAACTGTAACGCGAGCCCCGAGGCCGGGGCAGGGCCGGGCGGGGGAGGTGACGGCTTCCCGGCGCTGGCCTGCAGCTTGGAGGAGAAGCTGAGCCTGTGTTTCCGCCCCTCGGGTCCCGGCGCCGAGCCCCCGAGGGCGGCCGTGCGGCCCATCACCGAGCGCAGCCTCCTGCAGGGGGACGAGTGAGTGCGGGCCCGGCCGGGGGCGGGCGGGAGCCTCCCCTGCCCCTCGAGCAGCCCTCCTTCTGCTCTCGTCCAGCCCTCGTCCTGCCCTCTGGCCCACGGTCCGCAGCCCCGGCGGGACTCCGGACACAGGCTCCTCCCCGCGCCCTCCTTCCGCCTCCTCCGCCTGGCGAGTCCCCGCCCTCCCGGCGCCCCCGCCGGGCTCCTCCGGGCTTTTGGCCTCCGGGCGCTCTGCTGTTTAAATCCCCCGCTCCTTTGCCCTCCAGGTTCCCTCTCCCTCCGCCGCTGCCCTCCCGCTCCCTAGAAATCGCCCCAGGTTTGTTTGGTTCAGAGAGGAACCTGCTTGCACCCGAGCCGGTAGTTAGAGACGGCACCTCTTCGGGCACGTGTGTAGCCACTCATTCATACAAACTGGCGTTTCGTTATGCGCTTAGTGGTAGCGGCTGCTTCGCCCTGGGGATTCCTCGGTGACTGAACATACCTTAGCATGGGGGCTGGATTTGTAGACAGATGTTCTCCCGGACTTAAGTGCGAAGTATAGGGGATTTTTATACAGGGTATGGGGGAGAGGCAGGAAAAGCTTCGCTGGGAAAGAAATGTGAAAACTGGATCCCGATGAATGAGTGGGAGTTTGCCTGCCAGATGAAGAAAGGTCTAGCATTACGGCTCGCACGTGCAGAAGTACCAGCGTTAAAGCAGCATTTATGCCACAGGAATTTATTGGCTCCATCTGAGAGCCCAGGTGGAGTGCAAATCATCACAGAGGCAAAGAGGAAAGGAAGGCTCTGGTTACTAATAGCAAGGATCTCTTAGTCTGGTGGGAAAACCCATATGTTAACAGGTCATTAGTAGTGTAGAACCATCCAAGTGCCATGATAGGAAATTCATAGGGATTTGTGAGAGCTGGTTAAGGGGGAGGCAGAGTTCCTGGGGGCACTTCATTTAACTGTCTTGAACCCCGCTTATAATTTGGTTAAGGATTGTCATTAGGTACCAGGGTTCCACCCCCAAAAGATAGTTAAAAGGGGTGGTGAGGGTGAGGGAGCTGAGCATATTGTACAGGTGGGCAGGCAGGAGCCCTGGACAGGCTGAGGGTTCAAGCAGTGCGGTAAACACTGGCCATGGCTGAGTGGGTTTTTAGAGCTGTGATGGAGTGGAGAGTTTAGAGGTTAGGGAAGGATTCTTCAGGGATGGAGAAGGATCCACGGGCACCGAAAAGGCCTTCCAGCCTGTTGGTCTTTCCTCTGTGAATAAAGTAGGAAGCTTGAGAAGAAGGATTTAGGAATGGGGCCTGTAAACACTGGCTTAGCAGTGGCTGGGGCCCAGCTGTGCTGGAGACCCCGTCATTGCATTGGCACCTGTGTACAGTGACCTGCCCCCTGTGGAGGGAAGAGTTTATGACGACTTTATATATGCATGTATGTAGCTCGTAGCAAAAGATGACATTTTTGAAAGTCTATTCCCAGAGAAGATAGTTTTATATTTATATACTCTGAATCACAGGGACTCAGGACATACTCTGGATTAAAAGATGATATTTTGGGTTTTGGGTTTGCCAAGAGTGACTTCTCAAAACAGATGTGTGGTTTGTACACAGATAGTTAAGTCTTCCTATTTTTGCTTCACCTGTATTGTCTAGAAAGTAGTTTATTTTAGGGGCCCCTGAGTGGTTCAGTCACTTAAGTGTCCCACTCTTGCTTTCGGCTCAGGCCATGATTTCATGAACTGAGTTCGAGCCCTGCATTGGGTTCTGCACTAACAGCTTGGAACCTGCTTGGGATTCTCTGTCTCTCTCTCTGCCCCTTACCAGCTCATGTTCCGTCTCTCTCTCTCTCAAAATAAATAAACAAGCAAACATTAAAATAAAACAACTAGTTTTAGGCTTTGCTTAAATCTTAGGTTGATGTAAAACTTAAAAAATATTACTCTTGATAATGGTTTTCAGTAGATGATATGTTGTTAGTAATGTATGATGCTTGATTCGGGAATGCGTAACAAATCTCTGTCTCTCTTTTCAGGAACTGGGGCTGGTCACCACTCACTGTCCCCTTTCTGTTGCATAAATTTCTCCGTTTATAGAGTCCAAAACGTCCATCCCTGCACCTCTCACTAGAGAGAGTTGAGAATTCTCTCGCTTAGATATTGCCTTGGCTTAGGGCATTTCAGTTAACTTATCTGAGCCCCACCTCTAGTTTTGGCTAAATATGGATTTTACTTATCTGCTAAGATTTTGCGTCAGAAAGGGTATCACTTAGGATTTGGTATCACCGGATCTTGACCTCCTTCGACTTTGTCCTGCCGGTTGTTTATGACTGGTTATAATACTTTATGATAAAGATGAAGGCAATTCATGTCTTGACTGGAGAATTCTAGAATCTTCCATTTAAGTCAGCCCTGTGTCCTTCCAACTACACTTGTTGTGACCCTGGCGGAGATAGAGTACTGTTAATTTTCCTTCATTTTCTTGGCAGATCAGAGTCGTCCACAGTCTCTCCTGGTGGGTGAAGTATTGCACTCCACTTGTTCTCTTATTCCAGCCTCATTTAAGCAGGGGCGCCTGGGTGGCTCAGTCGGTTGAGCGTCCAACTTTGGCTCAGGTCATGATCTCACAGTTTGTGGGTTCGAGCCCCGCATCAGGCTCTGTGCTGACAGCTAGCTCAGAGCCTGGAGCCTGTTTCAGATTCTGTTTCAGATTCAGACCATCCCCTGCTCACGCTGTCTGTCTCTCTCTCAGAAATAAACTTAAAAAATTAAAAAAAAAAAAAAAAGGAAACAAGCAGTCCTCAAAACTCTGGACTGTTTTCACCTACTAGAATATCCTACTTGAGTTCCTAACCAGCGTTAGGTATATAGTCATTCAGTGTCTGAAATTCTTTCGCCTAGGAAGGTGTGGGTCAAAAACTAAGCAAGTTTAGCAGTCCAGATCTGTTGCCCCCAGTTTGAGCACTTTGGCATTGGAGAAGGTTATGATTCTAAGAGAGGAGAATAGGAGTAAACTATGTATTCATTTGGGAGACGTGCAGGGTAAACGAGCCAGTTTCCTAGAGCTTTTTGGGTTCACGTTTTCATTGAGGCTAATGTGCATTCCAGAGCCAAACATCGTTTGGAGATTTTATGCTTTTTTTTTTTTTTTTTAATTTTTTAATTTTTTTTTATTTCTAGGAGAGATAGAAAGAGAGTGTGAGCAGGGGAGGGTCAGAGAGAGAGGGAGTCACAGACTGAAACAGGCTCCAGGCTCTGAGCTGGCAGTCAGCACAGAGCCCGACGCGGGGCTCGAACCCACGAACTGCGAGATCATGACCTGAGCTGAAGTCGGACGCTTAACCGACTAAGCCACCCAGGCGCCCCTGGAGATTTTATGCTTTTTGCAGTTATGGTCCCATTGCTTCTTCTCTTTAGAACCAGATCCCAAATTCATTAAATCAAGTATGTTCCTTCTTTATTTTTAAGCTTACATTCTTATTTTTATGCCTCCAGTAGTCTTGTTTTTGTTTCTTAGTGGCTTACACATTTGGAACAAAAAAACCCCACTCAATTATTTAATGCCTCATTCATGATTAGAAATCTACCATAGATTTTAGCTTTTTTTCCCCTTATGACATCTCTGTGTCTCTGCCCATTAAGCCACTTATATATGTAATATTTAACTTACCCAATTAAATTTCATCTCATTTGTATCTCTGAAGTCATTCATATTTTTCATACAGTGTCATATTTTATTATGCTGCGATTATTTTGGTACTGAAATTTGAATTTTGGTCATGAAATTGGAGTTTGCTGTCCTTGTCTGGTGTGGCTTGGGCTTTCCTCAGTACAACTCATTTGAAATAACGCTTAGAATCATAGAGCGGGAAGGAATGTCTGGTATTCGTGTCCAAGCTTCTCATTTTATAGAAGAGTCGCTCATACCTAGAGAGGTTAAGGGGCAAAGCGAAAGGCTCGTTGTTTGAGGAAGGATGGAAACAGGAGTCTATGTTTTCTGAGTTTTAGGCACGCACCCTTTCATTTCACTCTGTGGCTTCCCCAAAATGCTGTCTGACAATAAGGAAGGGTAATTGCATTGGATATAACTTTTGTGTGTTTTATTGTGAACTCCCTTTTCTTTCCTCCTTCATTTTATCTGTTTTAGTCCTTAGCCTATTATGTTACAAAATTACATGATAGATATTAAACGCTAGCATCACATTGAGACTGAATCCTTTCTCTAGAAAGGATAAAAATTTTTGGTTAGAGAAAGACTTTTCACCCTATGAAATGACCAGTATGTTAGGAAGTTATTGAAGAAAAATAAATGTATAACGCAGTGTATGTACTACCTGTATGGCTCTGTAAACATTACAAAAGCTCCCTGTGTTTTAGTTTCCTCATCTGTAAAATGGGAGATAATAATGGTTCTTCATAATCTAGTTTGTGAGGATTAGATGAATTCATATATGTAAATTGCTTAGGATGTGCCTGGCACTTAGAACAGTGTAGATGTTAGCTGTTGACTTTGAAAGAGTTTTTAATCACTTCATCCGCTCTCAGCACTTCCTGTCAGCCTGATTAGCTGATTTTCATTTAGTCTTATTTAGGAGGCTCTTCTTTTTGGTGTTTTTCTGGAAAATAGGCCTTCTGTTGTTTTGCTTTGATATTTTTTGTTCCTTCTTTCACTATAGTATTGCCTGTTTGTTTAGTAAAAGACATGTAGGATGTTAACTTTCATTGACCGTGGTTTTCTTCTTTTTAAGGATTTGGAATGCCCTGACTGATAATTATGGAAATGTCATGCCGGTAGACTGGAAGTCATCCCATACTAGGACCTTGCATTTGCTTACGCTGAACCTCTCAGAAAAAGGGGTAAGTTAGGAATTGAGCTGATAGTTTCTGAATAACTGATTCTGATGATGGGACTAAAAACTAGCCTTTTTGTTTCACACACGTTCATGGGGTTGCCTCTTATTTCCAAGTATCTGGCTATTGGAGTGGCCCACTGTGGCCATCTTGGCTCCACTGCTGTCCACTTGGTAGCACTTTCCTCCAATTCTTCTGTATACACACTCACTTTTGTATGTTTAGTCAAATCTTCATCACCTGTGTATGAACACCAACGATGAGCATTTTTTTTCCTGAGCTTCAGTAGCACAATTTTAGTGGGCTGAGGAAACCCAGTAATATATTGAGGGTAGCGGAATATCAACATAGAGTTAACTTTCTGATGAATTGAAGGACTTGTTGGACATGACATGTTTTCGGAAGACTCTGTGTTCCTGTGAGTATTGGGGATCCTTTAAAAGGCATTACGGTTTGGGGCGCCTGGGTGGCTCAGTCGGGTAAGGGTCCGACTTCGGCTCAGGTCATGATCTTGAGGTTTGTGGGTTCGAGCCCTGCGTCAGGCTCTGTGCTGACAGCTGGGAGCCCAGAGCCTGCTTCAGAATCTGTGTGTGTGTCTCTCACTGCCCCTCCCCTACTCCTACTCTGTCTCTGTGTCTCTCAAAAAATATACATTATACGTTACATTATATGTACATTATACATTTAATATACATTTAAAAAAAGACATTACAGTTCTTGGCCTACTGAGGCTGCTTAGGATTCCTTGGTATTGTGCAGTGAAGGTGTCTTACGAAGCATGGTCACAGGTGTGACAGCTGTGGGGGAGGCGGGGGGTAGTATAGAAAAGGGAAGATAATTAAAAAAAATTTTTTTTAGTGTTTATTTATTTTTGAGAGAGAGACACACAGAGTGCAAATGGGGGAGAGGCAGAGAGAGAGGGAGACACAGAATCCGAAGCAGGCTCCAGGCCCTGAGCTGTCCGTGCAGGGCCTGATGCTGGACTCTCACTGGAACCTTGAGATCAAGACCTGAGCTGAAGTTGGAAGCTTAACTGGCTGAGCCACCCAGGCGCCCCTAATTTTTTTTTTTAATGAGGAGATTTTTGTTTCATTCTTTTTAATTTTTTTTTTTTTTTACATTTATTTATTTTTGAGAGACAGAGGCAGACAGAGCCCAAGTGGAGGAGAGGCAGAGAGACAGGGAGACACACAGAATCTGAAACAGGCTCCAGGCTCTGAGCTGTCAGCACAGAGCCTGACGTGGGGCTCCAGTCCACGAACCATGAGATCATGACCGGAGCCAAAGTTGGATGCCCCAACCGATTGAGCCACCCAGGCCCCCCGCCGCCCCATTTTTCTTTTTTTTTTTTTTTAAAGTTTATTTATTTTGAGAGAGAGATTGCAAGTGGCAGAGGGTGGCAGAGGCAGAGAGAGAATCTTAAGCAGGCTCCCTGCTCAGCGTGGAGCCCGTCGTGGGGCTCTCTTTCACAAACTGTGAGATCACGACCTAAGCTGAAATCAAGAGTCAGTTGCTCAGCTGACTGAGTCACCCAGGTGCCCCAGGAAGATAACCATTTTAAGTGGAAAATCACAATATTGGTTTATCTAAAGGTGATGAGAAATGTAGCCAAATTAGGTAACTTTCAGGTCTTGCTTGAACTGTTTTAAGTTTCTTACCATGTAACAATGTAAACTCATGCCAGATTTTTTTGGCATGCTCTGTATTTCATTAAGTGTAGTTGTATAATTGAGAATATAGTGCAGTGGGGCTATCAGTATTTTAAATTGTATTGCTAAGTTTTATGAAAATGATTTTCCTAAAAATATGATTCAGGAAAGCCTGCTGCTATTATTTTCTAGTAAAATATAGAATTCTGCCTGTATTTCCTAGTAATCCAGTAGACACAGAAATCTTACTGTATGCTCCAGTTATGAACCCCACTAAGCTGTTTTGCTGACTGACCTGGCGTTCGTCTAGTGAATAAAACAGTGTACCTTATGCTCTATCTTCTGTTTATTTAGACCCTAGCTATCATTTTGGGCTTAGTTCAAGTTTCCCTTCCTCTCTTAAGCTTCCTATTACTGTTTTAGCCTTTGCTGATCTCATGGAATTATACAATTTTAGAGTTGGAAGTGACTTTAAAGGACACTTAATCCAACCTCTCACTTGGGGGGAATCCCCATCCACAGCATCTCTGACAGATGGTCATTTAGCCCTGGCCTAAATCCCTGTGCGGAAGGAAAATGCACCTCTCTCTGTGGGAGTCGGTTACACCGGTGGGGGTGTGAAAATCTTTAAGGACTTATCTGTCCTTCAGAGGTTAGCCCCGTTGTCTCCTGGGTACTAATCCCGATAGCACATTGTCCATGTTTCTAACCATTACTTTGTCCTCTTAGTAATCATATGTTTCAGGGTCCGTCCTTAGATTGTGACTTGCTGGTAGGTGTCTTTGCAGCTGTGTTTTTAGTAACTATCATTGTGTCTGGAACATAGTACTAAGACAAGTATGTTGAGTGAATGAATATATGACCTTGTCAATGAGACCATAAGGTCAGAGACCATGATGGAAAGTTCTTTTTTAAAAAAGTAGATATTTTTATATTATTTAACATGGTGCTAAATCCATCATAGCCAATCAATGAGTATTTTTTTGTTTGACATAATAAAATGTAGGACAGAAGAGAGCCTTTCATAGCTTCAAATTGAAGTATATTAGCAGGATGAATGGGACACTGTAATTTAGTTTCACTGAATAAAATGTATGTCTTGTATCGTTCTTAGATTGCACCCTGGGAAGTCCCTCCCTTTTTCTGCCTTTTGCTTGTTTTCAATGCCAGAGTAATGGTATAGCTGAGGTAAATGAGTAACCACTTGGAGTTTACTTCTAGTAACTGATCTTAATTAAAAAAGCCTTATCTGGAAACCTTAGCAGATTCACGTGGACAAGAGATCGTCCATCTATCATCTATCTGTCGTGACACGACTACCCAGGTGATGAATAGAGCTGAAATCAGAACTCTACTCCTCAGGAAGGAGTGGCACTCATTAAGTTCCTGCAGAACGAGTGGGCAGCGTGGAGAAGCATCAGGCACCTCATTCCGTTAGGTAGCTTATCATTACATTTTTTTTTTTTTTTAAACCTGACTTATCTTGTTTAGCACTGCCAGCTGTGCTCTATCCTTTCCATAACTGAATCGTGTTAAATTTGCCTTTTGGAAGCATTCTTTAGATTATTTCAATTGTAAAACAAGATCTATAGGAATTTTTATTTTATTTTTTCCTTGATGAAGGGAGAAGACATTTCTGTCTCATTAGGATGAGGAAAACACTCAGGAAAACCACCACTTGCCAGATTTCAGCTCTTGATTTTTCTTTCATTGAGGTTCAAGATGGCACATTTCTAAATTTGATGAGGCTTTTCTGGAGTAAGGCAACCAGTACATTCCACATTCTTACGTGGGCACATTTTTTCCATCTGAAGCAGCTTCAGTTTCATACAGGGCAGTAGAGCTGCCGGCTGTGTGTCTAACCTGGCACAGGAAGGAGTGACGGGAATGCTTGGCAGACAGAAGACACACTCATGCCGAATGGGAGAGTGAATAATGACACCCATGACAGCCAGGGTTAGCTTTCAAAACCCAAAAGTGATTCCAACCTTAACATATGCCATCTCTGTGGGGAACGAACTTGGCTCAGTCCCTGGAAAGATGATCTGGGATCATTATTTCTGTTGTTATGGAAATTTATTCTAATGGTTTACTGGTATCTCTTGTGTATTTTGGCAATAGCTATGAAAACTATTCTAAATCCAGTGACCAGGTGGGGGGTGTTGAATATACGCAGATGATGGAAGGCTTCTAAATCATATTACCGTAGGAACATCTTCTGTGGCATCTTTTCCTGCCATAAGCAGCTTTTCAGGGACAGGTAACGTTGTTTCATGCACCTTTTAATCTTCCAGAGTAGAAACAGGAAGAAGATACTCGTATCTTCCTTAGGGGTCATTTTAAAATTAAAACCTTGTAAGGGGAAAAATAAATCTGTGGTCCTCAAATTATAATGAAGATTGATTTGGGGAAGTGTTGAAATTTGAGGCTCTGTGGGGATTATTGTCAGGTCTCCTCTCCATCATCCGTATACTCTTATGACTGTATTATGGCACATTTTTTCATTTCTGCTTCTAGAATCTTGAGGTCAAACATTCTCCCTCACCAAGAGCTTAATGTATTGATCATCCCCCTTCCTTATTAAAAGGATAACTGCATTGGTTTAAAAAGTAAACTAGAACTAGTATAGGGCTTCACAGGAATAAGCGGCCTCTGCCCTACTTAACCTACGCTTCCTTTCCACTTACCAGAGACAGCTGCTTTCTGCTCCTTGAACTGTTCTTCTAACATGCTCTCATCATTTGTATTTGCTTTTTTTTTTTTCCAACTTTAGACTTTATCCAATATTTACTTTCTACCCAGAGGATGAGGGTTTAGGTCTCTCTCAGTCTTCCTTCCAACCCCCAACACCATCACCCTCACAAAAACTTTCCCTTCCCTTGTCTTTCCAATGTAGTTATATTAAAATACTTGGTTAAATTAATCTTCATCATTTACATTGACTGTCAAAATGTTCACAGTTGACCCACTTCAATATATCCTGAGTAAATTTCCTCTTGTAATTTTGTTTTTTCTTAGGGTAATAATAGTTGCCTTGTGTTTTATTTAAGTTACCATTAGCTCGCAGATTCAGCTTCAACAGAGCCATAAAACTCACTTTAGTAAGTGACACACACCAGCTGATCTACTGGTGTCTCTGTGTCTCTTCCTCCTGTGCTTTTTTTAATGCCATGTGCAGTAACCGTTCTCATCTGACCCGGTCACTCTCTCGTTGAGGATCACAACCAGCACTCTGGGACCTTTACTTCTGAATCATTACGAGAGTGGCCTCACCTCTTTCTTGTATTAGATCCATATCTGCTTCCTTTCTGGCTTTCCTCCTGTTTTATTTATTTATCTATTTATTTATTTATTTTTTTAAATTTCGAATTTTTTTTTTTTAATTTATTTATTTCTAGGAGAGAGAGAGACAGCGTGAGCAGGGGAGGGTCAGAGAGAGAGGGAGTCACAGACTGAAACAGGCTCCAGGCTCTGAGCTGGCAGTCAGCACAGAGCCCGACGCGGGACTCGAACCCACGAACCACGAGATCATGACCTAAGCGAAAGTCGGACGCTTAACCGACTAAGCCACCCAGGCGCCCCTCCTGTTTTAATGCAGCATATTCTGCAGTAGTTTTCTGAGAAAGGGTGTATGAGGTCAAATACTTTGAGAACTTGAATGCTTGAAAATGTCTTTATTCCAAGCCCTCCTCTAATTGTTCATTTAGCTGGAGATAGGATTCTTGGGTGGCGTGTATTGAAACATGGAAATAACATTGATTGTTTTCTTGCTTCTTTGGTTGCTATTGAGAGTTCAAACGACAGTTCTGATTCTTAGTCCTTTTAATGTGTGGGTTTTTTTCCCCCTCTCAGGAAGCTTTTAGATTCTTTTTCACATAAATGGTCTAAAGTTTCACAACAATATGGCCAATACCATGTGCAGGGGTTTCCTAGGCCGACGGTCCAGGGAGAATCGAACGGGGAGGCGCGTGGTCACTGTGGTGCAGTGAGGGGGAGGGCAGGCCCTGGAGCCTGCTGTGGCCCCTCTTCCCGCCTCAGGTCCTGAGAGGCAGCCCCCCAGCAGTTCCTTGCACTTCTTGCTGCAGTTTCCTACTCGATGGGCTGTGTTCACCCTGACACTTCGGGGGCTTCTGTATGAGAAACTAAGGAGGTGGTAGGGACCGACATTGCCCTAATTGTGTCTTCAATTTTATTTATGGTCTCTGCACTGGTACATTAAATACTTCTTTTCAGGTAAAATCTTATTCTTTAAATTATATACTATCTCATAGAATACATGGTTGTTTCCTCCACAGTTCCTTGTTGCCCACTTGTTCCTCAGGGACTCAGTGAGCGGTATTCGTTTTTGAAGATGAGTTCTATTGTCGGTTCTGTTCATCATCTGAATAGTCATGTCATGGTAGATAGATGACATGTCCATTTCCATCTGCTGCGTTTTCCAAGTAAGGCTTTACAATCAGCACTAGTACTAAGTTCTAGGTCATTATTATTGGTGTGGGCAACTTAGGGGACACCAGCGAGGCATGGGGTGATAACCCAGGGCTGAGCAGTACTAGTCCCTCTGGGTGTGAAGAGGTAAGGAGAGGAAGAAGTTTCCAGGACCTCGAGAGGTGAGCTGTCGGGGACAGGTCAGCTTGACAAGATCCGCAGCTTTTGGCAGTCTGACCGGGAGGGAGACAGCAAAGTGTCCCGCCCTCAGCCTCCCACCTCCAGGCTCCTGGTAGTGTTTGCCAGTAGTTCTTAACCCAACTGGAAGCCATAGGTCAAAGGTGTCCTTTGATTTAGTCCATAAACTTCAGCCTCCCAAGGCTCAGAGCAGGGTGGAAAATGGCAGTGAAGCAAACAGAAACTCACAGCACAGTTAGGCTGAAAGATTTTCTCGGAACCTAGAGAGATTTTATTTTTGGAAGAAGAGATGTTCAGCTGTAAGGTGAAGTATGACCCCTGTGGACAGTTCCAGGGAGTCAATTCTTTATATTTTACCCTGAATATTAGAAGTTAGTTTGAAAGTAATTAACTTTATGTTATCTGTGGAATTTTAACATCTACTACTCTTACTGATAGATTGTTAACTAAATAACTAGCCCTGCCTGTTCCCTTCTTGGGGCATCTCTATCATTGCCTGCAACTTCCTGATAAATACTGTGTATAACATTCTTCTCCCTGGAAAAAGTAGCTGAGTGTGTGTCTGTATCAGGTGGTAAGGGATGCAGACAGCATCTTGGCAATTTCATGTTTATTTTCCATTCCCCTCATTTGTGTTTGAGATGAATATGTAAAGCCCTTCACACACTGCCTGGCATGCAGTGATTGTAGTCATTTCTCCCTTTTGAGGGAAGGCTCTTCCTCACCCAGACACTGTGACTCTGTTGTGATCAGATTGTCCTACTTTTAACAGTGGGTTATTTTGCTTTTAGATAAGTGACAGTTTGCTCTTTGATACGTCAGACGACGAGGAACTGAGAGAACAGCTGGATATGCATTCCATCATTGTCTCCTGCGTTAACGAAGAGCCCCTCTTCACTGCAGATCAGGTATTGCGGAGAAATTCATCGACAAAAGGAAAGGGGAACCCCGAGCTGAAAAACGATTTCTTACTTGGCAATAAGTGACGGGTTGTTGGAATCTACTTATTTTTCCTGCATTTTCTGTTTCTGTGGGCTTATCAGTTAACTCCTCCACTGAGAAAAGAAGAAAGTATATGTAATCTGAAGCAGATGGGATTATGTTAGTTGGGAAGATTCTTCAAGATAGGCAGTTTTCCAATATAGGCCTCGTTAAATCAGTGCAGTGAGTATATTACTATGGGAGGGTTATTGCTTAACCTGAAATCATAAAAGATACCGTGAGTTTGGTACTTTCTTAGGGTTGACAAGACATGGGCAAACTATAATGTATCTGTGCAGAAATCACCCAGTTCCTCTAAAAGCCTGTGTAAGAATCATTAGCACTTATTAGAAGTGCGCATCGTGCACCCAGAAAGAAGTGAGCTTTATTCCTGTGGAATGCTCTCGTAATGTCAACCCCGTGTTCATGTAAACCACTTGAATCAGCTTTCTCATTGTCTGAATACTCTTCCCACTGCTGCTGTGTCGTCAGAATGTGGTGTGAGAACTCCTTCCTGCAACAACATGCTTGTGGCCGCTCTGACTATGAACACTGCCACATTGCGTTTCTAGGCTGGAAAGATGAGGTCAGGAAGGAGATATGTTATGGCAAGGTTGGGAGGGGTCCATTAAAATGAGCCATTTTGATACTCCTTTGTCATATTTGTGGTTAGTTAATTATTCTAGGCCTGGGAAGAACGGGTGCTTAAAATGCCAAATAGGTGAGAGGGCTATGGGAGGTTGATCATGATATCTCAGGGAAATACGTGACCCTGCAAGTTCATGGTCCCCTCTGTAATCTATCTGCCTGAATGCCGTAAGCTGTTCCCGCTTCTGAGACTTAGAGAAATAGATTCTGCAGCCTCCTCTGGCATTTCATTGTACTGTTTTATAATGCCTATTTGAGAAAATCTTCTTACTAATTACCATAATCCCCACCTTCTTCAGATTTACTTTTCTTTGCCCTTAAGCTTGCTGATTCATCCTGTATTTTTTCTAATAGTTTCTTTTTTCTTTTCTTTTTTTTTTTTTTTTTTTAACTCTTAGGCCTATTTTTTCTAACTGTTGATTAATTTTTGTGGTTTTACGTGTTCGCTGACTTCTGTATCCTTCTCAACTTTTAAAAAGTGGAGCAGGACAAAGTACTGTTGGAAGATTCGAGCAACGTTGCAAATGACAGTAGATCATTGTTTGAAAGATATTTCTGAAATTTTCCTGCTTTTGTGCAGCTTTGTTTTCTTCTTTAAGCTTCTACAGGTCAAGTAATTTTTGGGTGTCTCATAATCTTTCATGGAATTAATATATGACATTCCTTTTCTGCTGTTAAAGGAAAATTTTACTGCCATAGAGATAATTTCTTGCTTTATTTTTTACACTGTTGTATTTTAAAAATTTTATGTCTATTTGATTAAATGGCTTATTGATTACTTGCATGTGGCATATGGTAAATTTTCTGTCCTTTGCTTTCTTTTGACTTTAACGATGATCTGGTTCTAGCACATCTGAGGAAAATTGTACCTGTGTTTTGCACCGTTTCTCAGACCTTCAAGATCGGATAGATGTACTGAATCATGATGGACATATTAAATCATATTCTGTTTCATTTTATGTTGAGCATATTGTAAATTTTTTTCCTTGATAAACCATCTTCACTCTTAACAGTCAAAAGTGTGATTGTTCAGAACACCAACTCCTACACAGTGTTGGTTAGCGGATAATTCAGTGCCCTTCTTCTCTGGTTGCCTCAGGCGAGCACCGTGTTGCAGAGAGATTGTTTTTCCGACATATATCTGATTAACAGTGGTGTGTGTATTTTGGAAGGTTATTGAAGAAATTGAAGAAATGATGCAGGAGTCTCCAGACCCAGAAGATGACGAGACACCCACACAGTCAGATCGGCTATCGATGCTGTCCCAGGAAATCCAGACTCTTAAGAGGTCCAGTACTAGCAGTTATGAAGAGAGTAAGACACCCTCCTTCAATCCACGCTCTTTAGACTTCCTTTGTATCTCACACCATCTCCAGAAAGCTTTCACTCCACAGGCAAAGTTATGTACCCTTCATCAGCCCTCCAGTGATACTCAGGCATATCTTTATCATTGCTTGGGGGCTTTGTCATACTCACCTTTGACTCCTGTACTGGTTGGCTTGGGGCTGTGTAACAAAGAACCACATGCTGGGGGCTTAAACAACAGGAATTTATTGTCTCAGAGGTCTGGAGGCTAGAGGTTCAAGGTGAAGGTGTAGCAGGTTTGGTTTCTTCTGGGGCCTCTCTCCTTGGCTTGTAGATGGCCATCTTCTCTGTGTCCTCACGAGGTCTTCCCTCTGCGTGTGTCTCTGTTGTAATCTTGTCATTTTATAAGGACATGACTCACACTGGATTAGAGCCCACCCTAACAACCTCATTTTAACTTAATTATCTTTGTAAAGACCCCGTCTCCAAATACAGCCACATTCTGAGGTACTGGGGGTTGGGGCTTTAGTGATGTCATAGTCTCACGTGAGGAGAAGTGCTGAGAACAATCTGAAGTGGGTTTTAGGGAGCAAGCCTTCCTTTCATCTTCCCAGTCCTCAAAAAAAAAAAAAAATGCACACACTGGGGCATATGTGATTAAATATGTATTTAGTTTAATTCTTTCAGATCAACTGCTGTCTTCTGAAGTGTGCCAGAACCCTGCTAAATTGCTTGCAGTTTCTTGTGAGCAGGTAGTTTGGGCACTCTCCCTCAGCTGTTACGTTTGTTCTGTTTCTTGTTCACGCTTTTTCAGTCTTGACTGGAGTGCTATTGGTGGGATGATTGAGTTAGACAACTAAAGAGTGCTGTTACACTCCTCAGCCTCTTGAAAAGTGACTGTGCCACCTCCCTCTGCTCAGACCTGCCCACCAGAAGTTTGAGGATGAGGAGAAGATCGTGAACAGTTTCATTGCTTAGACTATGGTTTCCACTCCTTTGGCATGAAACACCCTGTTGTGCTGCTCTCCCGAAACATTTTTGTCTCAGTATCTGCTGTGCTTTGCTTCTGGTCGCAGGAGTAAGAAGGCTCTCGGTCTCGGAATTAAACGAGCTGCTGGAAGAAATTGAGACTGCCATCAAGGAATACTCCGAGGAGCTGGTGCAGCAGCTGGCCCTGCGAGACGAACTGGAGTTCGAAAAGGAAGTGAAAAACAGCTTTATTTCTGTTCTCATTGAAGTGCAGAACAAACAGAAAGAGCACAAAGAGACAGCCAAAAAGAAAAAGAAGCTCAAGAACGGCAGCTCCCAGAATGGGAAGAACGAGAGAAGTCACATGCCCGGCACAGTAAGTGGTGCTTTGCAGGAGTCCTCGAGCGCCTGGAAGCCCCTTCCCCGCTGTGCCAGCGCTCCAGGCCTGGGGGCAGGCAGGCGGCGCCCGCACCCGCGCGTGCTTCTCACCGCAGTGCCGGCAGGTTCTGGTGGAGGATGCCCTGTGCTTAGCAGTTTCAGAACAGGGGTCTCCTGGTGAGGGTCCAGTGGTTATCTGGGGGCTCCATACGGGGATGGGCAGAGAAGTAAGTGGAAGGAAGATGAAGAAAGAAGGAGGGTGTCTTAAAGGTATCAAAGCGTTAACGGTGGTTACTTATGTTTGGGCGGCGCGCTTAGGAATGGTATTATTTTCTTATTTTTGCTCATCTTGTAGGATTCGTATAATAAACAATTAAAAGAGGGGGCGTAGAAGGGTTGCTGACCTGTGCTGAGCCTAAAAGCAGAGACCGATTTGTAGCCCGCTTCCTCCTGATCCATCAGTGAAGTCTGAACATGAAGGCGTTGGAGGCAGTTCTGTGGCATCAGCCATTTGCCCTAGAGTTGGGCAGGTTAGAATATTTCTGACCAGCGACGAAAAAGTTTAGAATATGTGCATCTTTGACTCTTCATGTAAAATTTCTTGTTTTCTGCTTTTTTGGTTTTCTTAAGCGGTCCTCTTGATTTCACATGATTCAACTCCATCATAAACATTCACTAATTAATGATAGGAGCTGCATTTCCTTATTGGTCTTTGGGCCGTTTCATTTTTCTTTGATCATTTGAGACTTATGTATTGCCACCTTCATATTATTTGTATTTGAAGGATTGTTGATTTTTATTTTCCTGGAGTATAATGGTTGAGCAAAGGGATCCATTTTCCTAAAAGGAATGTATCTTTTTCATTCATGATATTGATAACCTGGTAGTACGAATTATCCCAAACTAGCTATTACAGTTTATAATAATGTAAGTTCTGCCTTTAAGTCTTGGTTTATTTGTTTTTCTAAAGAATATGTTTATCAGAGGGGCGCCTGGGTGGCTTAGTCGGTTAAGCGTCCGACTTTCGCTTAGGTCATGATCTCGCGGTTCGTGGGTTCGAGCCCCGCATCGGGCTTTGTGCTGACTGCCAGCTCAGAGCCTGGAGCCTGTTTCAGTCTGTGACTCCCTCTCTCTCTGACCCTCCCCTGCTCACGCTGTCTCTCCCCTCTCTCTCTCTCCTAGAAATAAATAAAAATATTAAAAAAAAAATGTTTATCAGAGAAGTAGTTCTCACTAACCAGCCTCTAATGGAATCCAGGAAAGAGAATGCAGTTCGGGGTTGCTGGGTCACCAGTGAGCAGTTGATACAAACAAAAAGATCTTGCCATTTAGCCCATTTGTTGTCTCCTTGGGCCTCTGGGTAAATACATGGTCTCAGTGTGATGTCTACTTGTGTATAGAAAGGACATAGCTTATAAAGTGACTTTGAAAAAGTTCTCAGATATGTGGTACAAAATATTTTTCAGAAATGACATTATTGGCTGAATAGGTGATATTTAGTTGCTTCTAGTGATTACTCTGGAAAAGGAAAAAAAACCCAAACCCCAAACATTTGTTTGAATATACGGTTCTAGAAAGTGTGCTTTAAATTTCTGGAGCAAAATTTGTATGTCATATATATTTTTTTTAATTGCACCTTTTAACTTGCCCTATTATACAAGTGTGATTAAATGAAATGCTTAGTTAAAAAGTCATAGCGTGGTTGGTAATTCCTGGCTGTCTGCTGTTAGGAATTACATGTAAACCCTCCATACGTTGGAGTTAACACTTGGCTGAGGAAAATAACTTTGTCCCTAGAGGGGTTTAAAGGCTTCTTTTCGTAGCTCCCATAGAAAAAGGGTTAGAGTGGATTCATCATGTAATTGTACATGACATTTATATTGAGAAATAGATCTGGCAAGGCAAGATTTAGCTCTTGCTCGAACTTTATGAGTCTTGAAATAGATTCATAGTGAAAGTCGATTTTTTCACAGTATTTGGACCCATGAAGTTGCTTCTCGAGTCCTGATCTACTATTTGCAACAAAACCTTTCATCATATTACTGAGGGCCTTGCCGTGCTTGTGGTACTAGTTCCCTCTGTAAGCTGGAGAAAGACCATCCCATCTGTGACTCAAGGAGCCCCAAACCCATGATTCTGAAAATAGTGGTGGGTGGCTCAGAAGAACCTCAAGTGAACCGGCCAATCGGATAAACAGATTGCCAAGGATAGTACCTTGTTAGGCATTTTATAAAACACGTGGTTTGGACAGGGCCTGATCTCTAAGAGTTAGTTATCAATGACACAGATTTCTAAAAATTGGTGACCTTCTTACAGATACCATGTATTACCTGCTTTCTAGCAACATTGGTCACTGTTTTCTTTTTCCCTTAGATATTTTCGTTTTAGTAGCAGGACGTGGTTTTCTTTCCTTAAGCATGGAGTAGCCTTCCTTCCATTTTTCCTTAAACATGTGTCATTGAAACAAAACAGCAGTTTGTAGTTGGTATAACACTCTATCCATGTTTGCTAGCTGTTCACTTTGGCCCAAAGATACTGTAATGAAATATCTGGGTGGGAACAGAGCAGAGTTAAACTCTTTAGGTGTTAATTTTGGAGACACTTTGTTCCTAAAGCATCAGGAAAAAGAGAGGGGTGGGAGTGGAAAATGGAGTGGTTGATGGTACTGTCTGTTAATCAGTTTGATGACCTGTGTGCATTTCTTGGAACTGACTGTGCTGTTTGGGCCTTGGTACTTTTATACATGCCATTCCCTTTTCTGGAGGGACCCTCCTTTCCTGTTTCCCCCAGTCCATTTGGGAGACGTTTTTTTTTTTTTTAACTCGACCTTCAAAATCATGGTCAAGCATTGTCTTCCTTTCTTAGAGCCTTTCTTGATGACTCTTCCTCCAATGCAGAATTGACTAGTCTTTCCTTCTTTTGGGCTTAGTATTATTCCTCATGACTGTTTCTGTTGGCACTGTCACACAGTACTGCAGTTTTTTGTTTTCATGTCTATCTGTCAGGTTCCCTAAGGATAGGAAATGTCACTTTATCTTCTTTATATCCTTAGATGTAACATTAAGTACTCAAATTTCTGCTGAATAAATGTGTGAAAGAAAGATAAACTTGCACATCTGTATTTCTACCTTGGAATTTTCTGTCAGGTGTCAAACCCATGGAGGCTGAGTAGCCTATTGATTAAGAACTTTGGGGTAAGAGCTGTGTTTGGATCGTGCTTCTGTCAGTGAGTACATCTATCTCCCTTTGAGTTTTGGGAGGACTTAATGGAATAATGTATGTTAGGACTAGCATATATCCTGAGTAAATGTTAGTTATTGTATGCCACCTGCCTACTAGATCTTTCTCTCTGAAATTTGTCGAACTAAAGTTACCATTTTCCTAACGTTGAATGTAGTTCTTCTATATTTTTCTTTGGGTTAGTGGAACAGTCTGCTCATTCACTGATATCAGTGGAATTTTTGAGTCAAAGGATATGTGATTTTGGAGGGTTTTACACAACCAACTTTTCAAATTGTTCTACAGAAATGAAACCCAGTAACAGCATGTGTGAGCAACCATTTCCCTACACCTCCAGCCAACGATGGATATCACTGGCCACCGATCTTTTGATCTTTTGTTGATCTGAAAGGCAAATAATGGTTTGAACTGTTGACTTCTGTATCTCTTGTGAGTTGCCTGTTTTCCATATTTATTTATGAGAGTAAACATTTGTTCTCATAGTATCATAATTTATCATCATCAGCCTTCCCAAAGGCTCATTCACACTGTTTCATTGTTTAGCATCTCACCTAATTTTTGGTTCTTTGCACATCATTTAATGCCTGTTTGTTGAATTGAAACTTCATCGAAGAGGAGGTAGAATCCCAGAGGATTTGGATTTGTCATATTTGAATTATTGTTCTATCAGGTGGTTTTTAAATTTTTTTTGTTCTTTGGCCAGTCTTCTGTTTATATTGAATAGAATCACAGATCATTGAAATTCAGTGGCAGTTTACATGAATACAAGAACAAGTCCAAATATACCAGTTATGTTTTATTTTTTTAAATTTTATTTAAAAAATTTTTATTTATTTTGAGAGAGAGAGTGAGCAGGAGAGGGGCAGAGAGAGAGGGAAAGAGCGAGAATCCCAAGCAGGCTCCACACTGTCAGTGCAGAGCCTGACGTGGGGCTTGAACTTGTGAACTGTGAGATCATGACCTGAGCCAAAATCAAGGGTCAACTTGCTGAGCCACCCAGGTACCCCAACAGTTACATCTTAATTTAGCAGTGGTTGTCACCTAGAGTTACCTGAAGTTGTAAAGACATTAATGAGTACTCGCTTGGCATCATACCTCAGTGTATGGATGAAATGGCCATATTTCCTCATTTAGAATCCAGTAGTGTTTTTAAATTAAAAGTCACATGTAAGGCTGTGTATTCTAAGTCTAGGGTTGAGAAGATAGGAATGTATAGTTTTCTCTTTGCCATAATCACATTGAACTTTCAAGAGCGAGTTCTCACGTGTTGGACTTAGTACCAGCAAAAATGTTTAATTGCTTCAGTATAACCTGAAGAGGTTTATTTTGAAAACTTTTGGTGTATTAGGAATCAGTAACTCTGTTATGAAAAGAATCATATTGCCCTGTTCTGTTGCTTTTGGGGGTTGGGGAGATAACTGCTTCAAGTTGGGGGGCAGCTAGGACTTGGATGATAGATACTCTTTCTTATATCTTTCTTTCACAGATGCATTGCTCTGTATTTAAGACTCAGTTAGCTCAGATTATGATGAATAGTCAAATCTGTTTTGTTTCTCTTCTGCCTGCAAAAATGCCCCAGTAATAGTTTTCATTTAATCTTCAACAGAGCTGACTTAAAGGTAAGTGAAATTTATTTTCATTTACATAGCTCCTATTATATTATTCTGAAGTTATTCCAGTTTGTGCTAAGCTCATAGTTTAGAAGGATCTGTTCTGACATACCTATTTGAATTGGGGGCTTTTGCTTATAATAAGGTA